GGGGAGAGGAGAGAGTGGAAAAGAACGTGTAGGAAAAAAAGGGATAATTATGACTAATTAAAATAAAATAAAATTTATAAAATTAATTAATTACAAAACTGCCCTTGTTAATTTATTTATATTTAATATAAGTTAATTTATTAATTAAAAAAGTTTGAGGTTATTAGATTGTTCTCGCATTCTCGTAAATCATAGGGGTTCTCGTTTGAACCTCCACCTATATATATATATATATATATATATATATATATATATAATCGTAGTTTAAAAAATCTTTATATTTTAAAATTATCCAAAAAATATGCTTGTTTGTTTGTTTGTTTATTTGGATCTTAATGCAATATGAGTATATGATATAAAATAATTTAAAATTATATTTGGTATTAATAATTATTATTTTCATCTTACTTTTTGTTAACGTGCGAATAAGTTATATTATTCCAAAAAGGTGTTTGGAATTGTTTATAAAACAAATTATTTATTTATTTCGGTGTGATACCGTTAATAAATATTTTAAAGTGTTTTGATAAACAACTTATACATATGTCAAACCGATAATAAGAAGTTTTTTAAAAAGTTAAATCATTCTAACTTATAATAAGTTAATAAATATTTTTATAAAAAAACATAAGTTGTTCCAAATAAACAATCCTAAAGATTTCCTAAAACCTATTAAATACAAATCTTTTTTTAAATCTTAAATAAAACATGAATATTAGCCGTGAAAGTGTCCTAGAAAAAGTCTAGCCTTCTTTTAGCCAAATCATGCAATATAGAAATCACAAGTTGTCCTTTGGTTAGGACACGTGTCAATAACCCATCAGGGGAGTTGGGACATACACGTGTTAATGTTCTATTCGATACCTCTCATGTACTGCCACGTTGCCCCTTTCATTTTCCGCTTACTTTTTATAAATTACGTATTCTTCTTATTTTTTATATAATTTAAAATGCAAAATATTCGTTTTTACATAAAATAATGATTTATATGGAACATAGCTGTCGTCGCAAGGATAGTTAGGTGAGAGGTGATCCGACACGCGGTACTCTCGCCTCTCCATCATCATGCATACATCTAAGCCGTTAGATCTGATCGCTTATCTATCTTTTCTTACATCTCAACGGTTTAGATACTTTCCCAACAGAATTCTCATGGTCCAATTTCGTAGCGGATGTTTGATCAATTGATGGAGGACACACCCCTATGTCTTGTTAAACCTTTAACTTTTTTATATTTTTAATATATAATTTAATCTGATTATGACATAAAAATCGAATGTATATAAAACCACGCTGATTGTTGTGGTTGTTTATTTTACGTTTTTATTTATTTATTTGTTTATAATTATTGTTAAAATATTTACAAAATGTTTTTAAATAAATTTAAATGCAAAATAAAATTTTAAAATCGATAATAAAATATGATATTTTGAAATTGAGATGTCTATCGAAATCAAATTGATTTTTGGATAAGTTTTTAAAAGG